CTTATTGCTGTTTAACGTACATTCTATCATTCTATTTTTTTTAATAAATTAAATACCTATCAACTAAAATTTAAAATCATTTTATGATACCTAAATTTTACCTTACATCACGACCACCTGATTTGATCCCCTCCTTATAATGTAGGCTTAAGAACCACTCTCAGGCTTTAAAACTTCTGGGTCTTCTTTGCTATATATAAATTAGCTGCCAAAGCATGACTGAAAAAGGCATTTAAAATGAAAAGAGAAAGAGGAAGAGAGGACAATCAAAGGCACTGATTACTTAAATTTCACAGCAGCTACATTCCTGATGTTTGCAACAGTCCTGCCTTGAACATGCCTGAACTTGACCTCTACCTAGACAGCATGATGATACTTTATTGCTGAGATTAACGCATATATTGTCAAGGGCATATCATATTTTATTTAAACATTCTGAAGGAGGACATCAAATTTTACAGGTCAGATTCTCCATGGTGCTTGAGCAAAGCCGGGGCTACAGGGAAGAGCAAACAGCCAGCTCATACAAGAGCTGCCAACGTGCTGCTTCCCTTTATCTGCCCAGAATAAACATCTTCATTCTTGTCATGGCAAGAGCGGTCTCTCAACCCAACACAGCCTCTCTCCACATGGATTTGAGAGGAATGACAGTTCACAGGGGCAACAGTACTGCCTCGACCAGCAACATTTTTTAACAGACCTGAGTCCTGCAGTGAGATAAACAATTGTACAAACAGTAGCAGAAGAGGACAGCTCCATCAGCGGTTATCAGGGTTTTAGCCCCTTGAGAGCTCCTTCCCACACACATAGGTTCCCACTTCCCATTCAGAAGCACTCTCAAGTTACCTCGTGCCCAAACACTGTAATTGTATGTAAAGGTACCAAAGGACTAAAGTTTCAGTGAGTCAACCTCACAGCACAGGTATAGAAAACCATGACCACTCACTGTCCCTGGCCACATCACATTAGACCTGCACCTTGCTAGCAGCAATCATTTCAACCAAATGGTGCATGTATTTCAACAGTAACTACGAACTCAAATATGAAATGAGGTACTGACTCAGACCCACCTAAGACACCTAAGATGACTGCAACCAGAGTAAAGTCTCCCTATTGCACAGCGAGTGAGAGCAGACAAGACATCTGCAGACTTTACAGCCCCGAGAACACACTACATGCCCAAGGGCATCAGCGTTTTTATTTTCAACTGCGCAGCTATGAGCCTTTGCCACAAGGAGAAGCCCAGCTCTCCCTGGTGTAGACAGACAAGCAACACTGACACACAGATAGATAAATGCTAGAAAGGACACAGGATCTGCTTCATCTTATCTGGGGCAATCTTTCAGCCATATAATGAAATAAATATCTCTTGGGGACCTTAGATCAAAATGTTTTTTGGTCTAGTAATGACATCTCCCCCTCCAGGCTCCATGTGGGTTGTGGGTTTAATCTCATCTTCCTGCAAGGACATCGGGAGGAGTGGGGTCACCCTTGATTCCATCGGCTGCTCCACAGCTGTGGGCTTCAGGCAAAGATGCATTCAGCTGTGTATGCCTATTAGGTCTCTACTGATGGAAAGTGGAACACACATCTACAGTAATTTAACCTAGAGCAGGGTAATTCATTACCAGTATTACTCCCCACCCCCTTCCACTGCCCCAAATGCATGAGTGACAAGTGCCCAGCCTTTTCCCAACAAAAGGGCAATTGTATGCCTATCACCTTTATCCCTAACTCTATATGAACTGTGGAAATGTCTGTACCTCATTCTAAGCTTGCTGATATTGCTGTGAATAGGGATGGCTTCCACAGAAGAAACTACCATGCTAATACTTGAAAGTAGGATTGTGATCTGAACTGGGCACCTGTTACATAATGCAATTTTCTGAAATTAGATTTAACTTTCTGGATGTTTTTTCTGATGGTGCCGATTCAAAACCATGAAGCTCAACATGTCAACACGTATGAGAAGGAGGCCTCTCCTCCATTCCCCTCTGTCCTCAGTCTGCTTCCTTGCAGGGCATTTATGTAAGATAAACACAAAATAGTTCCCTTAGTTGCAGTAACTGAAGATATAAAAAGCAGGAAAATTCCCCTCATCCCTAGATTTTCTCAGTGAGGTGTCACCTTTTATCCCTTCTGTATACTACTTTTCAGAGCAGATATTTCTTTAAAGTACTCCCTGTCCCTGCCCACAAAGGAGAAAATAACATCTTCAGCTATGGAAGTACCTAGGTTCCCTTTTGAGAGTCAGGATGTGATACAGAAGATTATCAAATCCTACACATACGGCTATTCTTTACTCCACAAGTTTTCCATTCTCTACTTCTTACCTTCAAATTGTGTCATGTAAACCTGATGTGCAGTTACATATCTGTCCCTCCTCATAAGGGCTGACAGCAATTTTGTGAAAACAGGTTGGAGAAGTCAACTACACACCCTCCTTCCCACTAGAGGCAAGGTACAGTGTCTCATACCTGTCAAGACATTGAATTCATTTATTTCTAATAATTGCAAGCTTTCACTAGATCTCCTCCATAATTCTTAATCAGGCATTTGTATGTGGTGTTACCAGTGACAGAGGTAGTTGCTCAGCTCTCACTGTTGGTTCACTGCCAGGAATCTACAGACCACACAAGCTGGGAAGGTGGTGTATGTTAAGAAGTGGCAGGAAAGGGAAGGAAATCAGAGTTTGATTTTGTGCATTTTTAACATACAAATGCTAGGAGAGAACCTAAACTTCACATCCCACCCCTTCTTGCTCCACCAAGGCTGAGATGCAGATCATGACAGCAGTTACCTGACCTGCATGCTTTCCACAGCTCCACCTTTCCCAACATTCAAGTTATAAGGCTGAGCTCCCTGTCCGTCACCCAAAGCTCTTTTGGGTCACTAACATGATATCACTGATGTCATCGCTGCAATGATCAACCCTGAAGTACAACATTATGATTGTTTCCCCAATTCACATTCAGAGCATAGTTGTTCCAGCAGGCTTAAAAATGAGTGGAGAAGGCAAGGTAGGTTTCTCTACTCAGTAGGTTTTTGCTCCAATCTAATTAAAAACATTCAGAAATTCACTGAGGTTCCCTGAGAACTGCACATGCCCATGCTTTAAAATAAACTCTAAAAGCAAACAGACCTTTTTTTTATTTTTTTAAAGGAACTCCCCAAAATGGAGAGGTTTCCTCAGAAGTTTCTTACTATATCAAAGCTGCTGAATCAGAAAAGTTGAGCTGCTTCTGAACTATCTTGGTTTTGTTGTTATTGCTAATGTTTGGTGGGTTTTTTTCTTCATCTGAAAACTAACAAGGAAAGCCACTGTTGGTTCTCTGACATGCAGAGAAGTGACAGTACAGCTAACTGGAAACAGTCAGCTTTGGTCACTTTGGTCTGAAATTGGGTCAGAGATGCCAGCTCACGGTAATACCCAAGAAATATGCATGTAATATTAGGGTTTCAAAGGCTGAGGACAAGATAAGCCTTTTCTTGCAGGCAGAACTCAGTTAATACAGCTCTAACAAGTCTGAGAAAAGGCAGCTTCCTCGCAACAAAACGTATGTTTTAAGTACAATTTTTCAAAAAGGCCTCGTTTCTGGGAGAAGTGTCAGGGAATCTATGCTAACAGGCAAGCCCCACACTGCTCCACCACCTAAACCCAAAAGCAAGCCACCACCAAGAGACTGCCACTGCTGTGCATTATGTTGATGCTTGCAGGAGAATGTGCACAAATGGAAAGCCAATACAGCTCCAAATAGCATTAAGACTACTGGACAAATTCGGTGGGAAAGATTGAAGACAGCAGAGTCACTTCAACATGGGGAACTGCAGCAGAGCATGGAACACACAAAAAGCTTGTGACCATGTCACAAAGATTCTTACCATCAAACAAGTGCTAAAGGATCCTCTGGACTGGCTAGCTATCGCATCACCAGCTTTCAAATTCAGACTTTCTCAGGAACTGTCCCTAAATGCCTCAAAAAATGCCTGTCTCCAAAAACACAGCACCCTTAAGCTGTACAGCCAAGAACAAATTCCTTCAGGGTTGTAACAACCAATTAAGGGATGCAAAGCAATTACTTTTATATCCATACAAATGAAACTCCTCCAATGCAATTAACTATCCCTTATCATCCGTTCTTGAATTTGTGGAAATCATATGCCGAAAACTCTCTCCTCCCCCAACTTTTCCACAATTTTAATCAGTTTGCTTTAGCTGATGTAATGAAACCTACCTATTCAAGAGAAATAGTAGATGTCTGCACGTTATCTGAATATTTTTAAATGTCTTTTTTAATTTTAAATATAATTTCATTTGAGATTTTGCAGCTTTCATTTCTATTAATAAATTATCATTTCTTCTTTATAAGTGATGAGCTAGTATGTCATGTAATTTTTTTCCTCTAAATAGACTAAGACTTTGATCTAACGCAGGCTCTTGCTGGGAGTAGAGAGACTTTCTGTCTGATTTAGTTATGAAAAATATTCAATTAAACTTGGGAGTTTAATTCATTTAGTTATGAAAATTAAATGAGCTCAATAAGGTACATTTGATTTGCCTTGAGAAAAAAAAAAACACAAAAGAAAAAGAAGGAGGGAAGAATCTCTGAAAGGGGAACAAATAAAAATGGGAACCAAAAGTAACTCTTCCTGCTCTTTGTTGAAAGGTGGATAACATGAAAAACCTGAGTTTCATTTTGTGTGCCCATATAAAACACAGCGACAACGAGTTCATGCAAAATTTATATCCGGAAGACACATGAATAGCTGATGTTAACATCCTAATTGTCTCCTGGGTAACAAAAATGCCTCAGGTCATAATTGAGTCCATCCCAGTCAAGGGACAATCTGAGTCCTCATATCAGGAAGACACCATCCACACACAAATCTTCTCCATCTCCATTCGAGGAAAAACATTTCAATTATTTTTCAAAACCAGAACAGAGTAATACGGATCTCTCCAACAGAAGCCTCCTTCAAGTTTTCCAGCCACCACTTACCATTTTTGCAAATAGGACAGCACTGATCAGGCTCATACACCGGATCCACGCACTCGGTCTGGGGACAGGCTGAAACTGTGCACAGCACTTCACCATTGGCTTCACAGCGACACCTTTCACATGGAGAAACCTGAAACACAAATCCAGTCACCTTTTAACTCCTTCACTTAATGCACTCCTTCTCATCTGCGCTGTTTCCTTCACATCTTTTTCCTCCCCACTTTAAAACAAATGGGTTTTGTGATCTGAATAATGCAAACAGTAAGACTGGGCTCCTGCAAAATGAGAGAACCATAGCAGAAAAAACCCTATACTCTGAAACTCTGCACCTAAAAAAGTCAAACAGATCTTGAAAACAAGAACATTGCAGACGTTTAATACAAATAAGACAAAAATTTCCCAACTGCATTTCTAATGAACTTCCAGAAAATTAAACTCATAATCTAGCTTAGCTCTATTAGAGGTTCAAAAAATAAATTAGAAAATAATATTATAATTAAAGAAGAAAAGTTTTGCTAAATGAAGTATGAAACTTTTAATGGAAATTAAATCCTTCCCCCCCCTTAAAGTATTTTGGTAGGAGGAAGTTGTATTTTATTGAAAATTATATTTTTCAAAGAGAAAGCAGGAAGAAAACATCCTTTTTGAAGTCAGGTATTTCCCATAGGTTAATTGTATTTGGGCAATTTTTCTAATACTTGTAACTTTCTGAAAATAAATTGCAACTCAAAGAAAGGCGTGAAGCAAAATATAGGTAATCCTTTTTATCCAGTGAAGTGTTACTGGTTTTAAAGAACTCTAACAGAATTGGAATACCACAAGATAATTACTTGAATGACCTACTTCAAAGAAATTAATTCCAAACTAAACAGTATCAAGGCTCTGTTTAGTAAAAAATGGACTTTGAAATGTCTGTATTTGCCACATGTACAATTCCAGGTGCGCTCTTCAGCATTCCTGACAAGGCACAGCATACTGGATTGCTGACATCCTCATACCACACAAGCAGCTGGAGGCAGAGGGAAGCAAGGATGCTGAAGAGCAATAAATGGTGTACTGTAAACCTCATTGCTGCACTCCATGAAACCACATGGGCATCCATGCTCAGAACACAGGATGAAAATGCAGCTGAATGTTATTATTAGTGATCCTCTAAATCTATAATCTGTGTAGATTATTGGTTTACTTAAGGAGGAGGTTGTTCTTTTCACAGACCCTTTCTCATTCCAGATTCCAGCTGATGCAAACAACCACCCATTGCATTTCTCCAATAAAAGCAGAAAAAACCCTCAAATCTGAGAAAAAAAGAAACAGAGCAATTATTCTCTGTGAAGAAGAACCCAGATGTCTAACTTGCAGATCATCTGTTTCTTCTCCCTAATTTTTAGGCAGCCCATGACATTTTTTCCTCAAATCCATTCTTTGCTTGTTTGCCTCTCACATCCTTCTCACTTCCAAAGTTCAAACATGCTGATGCTTGCACAGCATCATCTCCAACTAAATGCTCATTCATGCTTTGCTACTTCCCTTACCACCTGCCAGGGCTGTTATTTGCTTATGCACTCACATATCTTTCATTCACTCCCCTCTGCTCAGAAAGCTTAAATAGGGTCTCTCGCTGTGTTGCTTTCTGGTTTTATTACTATAATTTATTTTGAGCTTCCTTTGCTAGCTACTCACTTTGTGTTTGCTCTTTGCTTTACACTCTACCAAGGATGACACCACAACACACATTTATAAAATCCTACAAGGAGCCTGACAGCCCAGTACTGAAGATCTTTATTAATGACTTCGGGACAAGAACTTAGTCCTGTAATTGTTTATAAACTGCCACATTCACTTCCAGAGCTGAAGTGTCAGCGAATGAGGTTTCTGATCCAGTGCTCAGAGTTGAAAGCTCAGGTATCCCAGGTAATGAACTGCACCACATGTGAAGTTTTGAGTGCCAGCAAACCTGAGCTCATAAGCATTGCCAAGTCAGTAATAAGAATCCTTCCTTATGGACTTACATCCAGAAACCATACTTATTATATTATGAAAACATGCCATTTAGGGAGGACTGATTTTTACTTTTTTGAATTATTTTTAAGGAATCCTACTTCATTCAAGATACCAGAACTCAATTGCAAGGATCTGGGTCGACAAGGCAAATCTTTTACTTTCAAACAGTTTTAACGCTTCTTGCCATGACTTGGAAAAGATGCAAATTTGTCAACCCTCAAAGTTCAATGAGACCAGTAACTACAGCAACAGATATTTCTTCTCCCAGAACACTGCTTAGTAGCTCTGCCATTCAATATTAGAAGTGGTGTAAAAACTAGAGTGTCTCATCAAGAAACAAGGCAGTACACAGATGTTATTCCTAAAATCTCTCATCTGTAAAATTTAAACATATTCTAATTAAATAGGTTTACTTGAATTCCAAATTTGACAGAAGTCTAACATTCTTAGAAAAAGAAGCCATTTAAAGTAGCATTTAAAATACTATTGATTAACAAAACCAATCTAATCTTTATCTAATAATGATGACTCATGATGCACACTTCTGTCCTACACAGCACATACATCTGAAGACTACATCTTTCACAAACAGAGTAAATTATGCTAATGTGATACTTCAGTAATGAATACACTTCCAGTCTCACAAATCATGAGATTTCAGGGCAATACTTATAGTATGCCCTTGGTAAGTATTGTCATCTGTACAACCCAACAATACAAGTAATGGTAGCACAGATAAGGAAGGTCTCCACATGCTTATTTCTACAAAGCTCTTTTCAGGCATATAAATAAACCACACTGGTTGCTAAAAATGATAAATAAACCACACTGGTTGCTAAAAATGGTATCAGTGTCAACAGTTATCTGTTCACCTTTGGACAAAACATTGCATTGCTGCATCATCAGGATGCAGCAGGAACTATAGAAAACCCCCACTCCTTTCAACACTTTAATGGCAGCTTAATACATGGAGATAAAATCATCACTAGAGAGAAAGACAGTAAATAGTGCATAAAAAAAAAGACAGTAAGAAAACAAGAAAGACAGTAAGAAAAAGGACAGTAAGAAAACAAGTAAGAAAAAAAGAAAGTAAGATAACAGCAGCTAAATAAATCAGAAAGAAAAGGCACATTTGGTCTTCCATTTGCTCTCTTCTACTCATACAATGTAAGTGCATTTCCTGCAGCACAGTTCTAGTGACAGTAAATGCAACCAGCATCCCATTTGTTCATCTGGGAAACGACCAGCCCGGCAGCAGTCACGCTCAGCACATCTGACACAACCAGGCCAGACTGGAAATAATACCACCTATCAACCTCTCTCGGGAGAGTAGCGATACCACATCTCTGTGGTCTGCAGATTATTAACTCTAAAGCAACAGTAGCTCTACCTATGCAAAAAAAGACAGGAAGACGAGGCACAGAAGTCTTATGCATTTACCAGGCAGGCAGCCACAAAAACTGTAGAAAACAGAGTACAGATGGAAAACAAACAAACAAAAAACTCTTAAGAACTGTTTAAAGGGAAGTTTATGAGTAGAGGTATAAACAGAGTTGCAGACATTGCAAAAGAGCAAACTATTGTGTAAACTGGTAAATTTCCCGCTAGTGGCAGTGAAGAAAACTGTAGCTCAGTAAGGGTAGTAGGTTTATCCAGCAACTTAGTGTAAATTGTCATAATTAAGAAGTGAAAAATCATTTTGTACTCACTGAAGTGCTATTCCAAAGTAATCTGAGCTTTCCCCTTTCTTTTTCCACAAGTCTAACTTCAAATAAAAAAACAAAAAGACACCAAAACCAAACCAACAAAAAGGCTGGAAAAAAATATACAATCTATACTTGGTTCCTTGAGCCTTGAAAATATCTAAGTAAAAAAAAAAAAAATCAAGATCCCCAAGTTACTTTCTTTTGTGCTAAAATATTTATTATTACTTTTTTTGCCACTTACACAGCTCAGGAGAACATGAATGGGGTTACACTGACAATAATAAACATACCAGCCATACTTTTACTTCTCTGTGCCTTCTAAATACCACAGATCTTTCAAAATCCATTTGGGTTTGTTGACTTCCAGATTTCCTGGTAACTCACCCACTAAAAAGTACAATTTGTGGTAGCAAGGAAATTCTAAAAGACAAATAAAGCAGTAACTTTCAAATATGTAGGTCTTTCCCAAACATTTCACTTCCAAAGATAATTTATGGCCCTTGTACAGCTATGACTTTATATACATCAGCCTGCATTTTCAAACCTTACTTTAATACTGAAAAATGTCTAGTGGACAGACAAGCTCAGAAACCTTCAGCTTTAAGTGCAGAACTTTATCCTCACAGCATTTGACCAACTAAAGCTTTTGCTACCAGTCCCACTCTTATGGATGCTGTGATTTCTCTGCCATTCTGCCTCACAGTACCCACAGGGGACCAGAGTGGTGCTGATGGAAACAGCTTTATGAGACCTGATCCTTCCCCCACACCCAAGCTGTGTTTTGTGTTGACATCCATGTCCTTTTTGAAAGCAGAAAAACACATACATACATGTGCACACAAGCAAAGCCTGCAGGACTGACTGTGAATCAAAGAAATGCATCAAAACTCCCATTCCTTGGCATACTCAATTTCTGACTCCAGTCAGGGCAATTTTTTGTAACATCAAGCCATACAGGAATTTTACATAAGCAAACTCCCAAATTTGTATGCATAATTAGACATCTATACAGAAATGTTTGCAAAAAATGTCACTTAGGAGGTCATCTTTTTCTTCCTTCAGTGATGTCCAATATTCTTCGGCACAAACAGCAGGTGAAGACACAAAGAAAAAATCAGATCACTATCCATTTATAACTCCTTCCCTGACCTTAATCAAGAGACAGCATATTAGTAACCCCTAAGACCATCAACTTTAAATTCACAAAATGACCTCTGAAACCGTGTGCAATTGCTTGCATTTTGCAATTGCTTTCACTGAGCAGCAGCAAACTGACTACATCTGTACCTTATGTCACCAGACAACCCCTGTGATTGCAGTGGCCTGGGCAAACAGCTGCATTTACAACTTGTGCTCACAATACTGGAAACAACACTGAAGCTCAACTAAAAATCAAGGTCCTCACACATGAAGATAATCAGGCTGCAGTTCCATTGCCTAACTGTGCCAATATCTTTCCTTGCTCGTCCTGACCAGACATCCTTTCTCACTTGTGTTTCTAAAGTTGGCTAAAACAAAGCAATAAGGGAACCAATATGACGTTTGAGGAAGGTATGAAGACAAGGACTGAAAGGCAAGTGAGGTTAAAAAGAAAGCTGAAAGCCAAAGTATTTTCAGAACATTTCTGTAAATGTCACTGTTCTTCACTCCCTTTTTACCAAGGCTGCCAGCCATTTCCACATGTACCAGGGAGCCACAGTATCTTAAAATACTTCACGGCCATTAATACACCACCACCATATAAAAAGGCTAGGAAATGGAACTCTGTAGAAAAGTGTGAATGAAGGGTGGGCAGAAGGCTTTAAAACTCTGACCTACAGAGAATGTGTGAAGAAGCTTCATGTTTTGACCACCCCTCAAAAATTAAGTTTGCTGGAAAAGGAAGGATCTCACAATCCATCTCTGAAAAGGTCACACCAACTAGCTCCTTGATGATGTAGCTGCTCCCTCTTCAGTAGAAAACTGCTGCCCTGAACTTGAATGCAATCCTTGAGGGTGACATGGAAAAATGGAGGATGACACAATGTTTTCTGCCATGTTTTGAAATTCACTAGTGCTCTACACATTACTGACTAAAGAGAGCAACGGGAAACACTGTGATTTATTCTGGAGAAAGTTCTGCTCCTTTATTTATTTATTTTCCCATATGTTGAAGAACATATAAAAGACATTATGAACCAAAGTTAAGTTTCCATGAACAAGCAAATACCACAGAGAGCAGAGGTGGCAACTTTAGAGCCTTCACAAACATATTTTCTTTTTCTCCTTCCTGAAAAAGGGCTCAGCTTTCAGAACCTTGAACTGGATTTTGTGCTCCCCTCAACATATTCAGCACAAAAATCTCTGGTGTGTTCAGAAATGGGTTTTGGACCAGCCCTGTATCTAACAGTCATTCATAAACAAACTCACATGTCATTCTCAGAGTCTGCTCACCGATCTCAACCACAAAAAAATGCTAGATGAAAAAAGGCAAGCAATCAGAAAATTGGCCCCAACTCCAGAACTTCTGAGTGCACTGTAATAAGCTGCATTTTCACTGATAATGACCTTGCACAATAATGCTAAAAAGGCCCTAGTCTAAGAGGATTCCCCTAAAGCTCTTCAAGTCCTTTTTTAAACTATCACTATAATTCAGACTGCAAAACATGCTCTTATTAAAAGAAGGCCCACAGTCATTGTCTGAAAGCAAAAATTATGCAACCTTTGTAGCACCATTTAAATAGTTAAAAGGAGAAGAGAAATGACTTACAAAAAAAAGCCATCATCACAGACTGATTACTAGAAATAGAAGTCAGCCTGTAAAACCCTGCTCAATCCCTGCAAGCTAGAAGTTTAACAGTTAACAGTTAAATAAAGAAACAAAAGTATTGCTGAAAATTTTCATAAAATACATAACACCACTATGTAGGATCCTTCCAAGTAGCATTTTTTACTGTAAATACCAAAGGAATTAATAAATATCACCCCCCTCATTTAAAAATGTTACAGCATTAGAGAGCAATAAAGGTCATGTTTAAGGGGAATATTTTACAGCACTGCAGAAGCAATATTAACATAAAAATGAAAAGGGGAAGGGGTAGGACCCAGAACACCCTCTGAGAAAGCAGTTAAAGAACATAATACCACTTTAAAGAAGAACCCACAAAACTACTTTTGACCTTACCATGAACTCCTCTAGGGTCTGATAGTTTTTTCCTCGGAACTCGCAGTAGTTCTTCCTCTCCTTGCACTGCGGGCAGCACTGCGTGGTGTCCACATGGATGCAGCGAGGGTGGAGTCTGGGGCACTCGGGCTGGATACATAGCGGGCCCTCCTCCGTGCAGAGGCAGGGGCAGGCAGAGGGGCCCGGCGCAAACTTCTCCCCGATGGCATACACGAAGCCGCTCTCGTCCACGCAGCCTTTCCCACGGTAGTCCGGATAGGCGTACTCCTCTGGAGGCTCGGGAGTAACACTCGCAACAGATGTTGGGAGAGACGAGTCTTCAGCCACCTGAGGTTCCTCGGGAGCAGCATCCCTTTGCTCTTGCACTTGAATGCTCCCAGATTTACTGCCTGTCACCTGGCTGTTCCAAGCCTGCTTTTGCTTAGTCCATGACTCCTTGTTCGAGTAGTTCCTGTTCCCTTTGCTCTTCCAGTCCCTGCTACCCTCCTCCCTTCCGCTCCTGCCGATCTCATTCATTTTCCCTGGGCCTGTCTGGCTGTCCCTTGTAGACGTGTGATCCCTCTTTTCCTGGCTCGCCTTTATCTCCTGTTTGTCTTGAGCCTTGGCTAGTTTTTGTACGGGTATGGTGGAGCTACAGAGGGCAACCATGAGGCAGCAGGTTACAAGGAGAGAACTAGAGAGAGCTCCAATTGCCATTGCAGTAGAGCTGGGCATCACCTACTGCATCCCACAGGGGACACTGCACTCACATCGGAGGGAAGCGCTTCACAGATCCAGGGTCCCTAGGAAAAGAAGGATTAGGAATACTTCAGCTTCTGCACTTCTCCCCCCCACCCCCCTGCACCTCGCCTCCACTGATGCAACATCTCAAACAATATGCAACCTGCCTCGGTAGTTTATGCAAAAGGCAAACAACAGCCTGGTGCTGCATCCCTCCTCCTCCTCCCCCGCTCTGCCGAGTCTTATAAATAGCAGGGCTCTTGGACACGGACCGGGCGCCTTCGGCTCCGAGAGAGCACCACGCAGAACTCTGGAGAGTCAGCATTTGTAAAGGCAGGTGCCGGCAAAAACGGGAGGACTGGAGGGTTATTTTTCCTTTCAAATGGCAACACGTGAAGACGATGGACGTCCAATGAATTAAACGGAGCGCCCCAAAACTCAGCAGTGTCCAAGAACAGAAATTACCCAATTGAGTGCTATTCCCTGACTGCACGCACGATGATTTTCATTAATCTCTTATTCAGTCTGAAGTATGCTGGTTTGGGTTTTGTTTAAATGCATACCAGTGAGCACATTTCTGTCACAGACAACTAAAACCAAAAGCACACTAAAGCGAGCAGAGACAAACCCCTCCCTTCCGAACTACCCAAACCAGCACACACACCCCTCTTTCGTCTCCGTCTCTGAAAGGCAAGGCAGAGCCGCTCCGAGTTTCCGCAGCACAAGCTTATTTAACCCACATCCTCCCAGGAGTTCGGCAGCGCTCCCGACTCCTCTCCCTGAAACACTGCACGCCAAATCGGGGAAAAAAAAAAACAACACACAAAAAAACCAAAAATCAAAACAAACAGCCAAAACCAAACCAAAATACGTACACTACTCCGGCCACAACCAGCACTGCCGCTCCAGCCTCCCGGCACGGCCCCACCTCCACGGTACCGCTCCCCAAAGCCATGTCAAAGCCTTCCTCTCTGCCCGCTCGCCCGCCCGCCTCCCCGGCGCTCGGCAGCGGCACCGCGGGGCACCGCGCTCCGCCCGCCAGCGCTGCCCTGCCCGGCCCGGCCGCCGCGGAGAAGCCGGGGAACCGCGACGCTCGCCCAAAGTTTCCGGAGGGCCAGGCAGCGCCACCCGACCCGCTCCCGGTGGGGCTTGGAGGGAGCCGGGCCAGCCCCTTCCCCAGCCCGGCCGCCTCTCCCGTGGCCCGGCGCGGCCCCTGCCTCCCTACCTGCGCTGGCGCCGGGCTCAGCCTCGCCGGCGGCTCGGGGCGGCCAGCCTCGCCCCGCGCCCGGCTCCCATGGCGGGGCCGCGGGCGGGCGGCAGCGGCTTGTTGCTGCCCGCTCGCCTCGGCGGACCTGCCGAGCCCGGAGCGCAGCGCGGCGGCCACAGCCGGTCCGACCCCGCCGCCCCGGGGACGGACTCCGCTGCGGGCCCCGCTGCTCTCACATGGCGGCCGGGCACCCCCGTCCCCGGGGGCGGCGGGGCAGGACGGGGCGCTCCCTGCTTCTCTCCCTCCCTCCCTGCCAGCTGCCGGTGCGGGCCGGGCGCAGGGCGGGGACTCGCCGCTCGCCGGGGGGCGGCAGCGCAGCGCCCCTGCCCGCCCCTGCCGCCGCTGGCGGGGTGTGCGGGGGGGACGAGCCCGCTCCTGCCGCTGGGGCCCACCGCGGCTGTCGGGAGGGAAAGTGGGGCAGGGTGGGCTCGTGTGGGGGGGGTCGGCCTCATACGCCGGCGGGTGAAACTTTTGGCGGTGCTGGGGGCACCAGTTCGGGCTGCGGCGGGGCTTGGGTGGGCGTTCTCCCCGCGGTGAGGGTCGCGCCGCCGCTCACACCTGCGCGCCCGCCCGGGCGTGGGCGGCTGAACAGCGCTGGGCCGGGACAGGTGAGCTGTGCCCGCCCGCGCCGCCGCATCACCATCGCATCACCATCGCACAGGACTCCGCTGTAGCGCTCTCCCGCTAGCCCGTTCTAGCAGCGAAGCGGTACACCTGGTTTGTTAGTTGAGATACTTACTTACGCTTTCAGATAGCCGGTGAACACGTCTGTAATTGAATATAATTGCATTTTTCTCCTTTATAGTTTTTGATACCGTAAAAAGAGGGACAGAATCGTCTGTTATGAAGATGACTACTGAAATTCTGTTGGGACAGAAACGCAGAAGAAAAGCTAGAGGTGCTTTTGTTCAGGATTTGAACAAGGGCTTGGGTTGCAAAAGGTTATTTATCTATGTAGTTATTTATTTTTAAGCCGCATTAGTTGACATATGAGTATAATCTTCTCTGAGTTTTGCTTTACAGATGTTCCAGAGTAGTCCCAGCTGCACTAACCCTTTGCCGCCGTAGCTCTTTAGCAGGTGGCTGTGCCCTACTCGTGACTATGGCTGGATTTCCCAATGTACTTAGCACTATAACTGAAATTTTTAGGCTAGGTAAAATTTTCAGGTGGTTGTGGGATTTTTTTTGTTTTTTTTTTTTTTTTTTTTCCTTAGAACCGCAGCACTGCAATATGAGTACTCAGGAGAGCTATGAATATCTGCTCGATACTAATGTTTCACTGTTAAGTACCTTCATGAGCGGCTGTTATTTGTGCAAACCCAGACACTTAAATTCCTCCCTAGGAGGATGCAGGTGCTAAACTCTTTTGGCTGCTCGGTTGTTGATATTAAAAACTATGAGTCCTGTCTAGTTTTCAAAAATATTTCTACTGACACCACTTCATATCTTCCAGTCAGATGTTTGTCACCTAAATAATGTTTTAATTCTCTGAAACTTCAAAACACAAGACTAAAGTTTTGAAGGATAGGAGGTCAAATTTTTCCATACATTGCACTAATAAAATGAAATTCCAAATTGCTATGGGTTTTCTAGACAACATCTTAAGGAGTTAAGATAAGACTTTTTTCATTACCTAACTAATAATCATTAGAAAGTACTTGCCTTCAAATTGTTATCTCATTACCTCTGAATAAATAATTGAATCTTTACCTTGTCTAAACCCAGTAATTTTATGCCTTATATAGCTTAAACCCTGACATGGGGTGAGCAACGGGTACACCACATCACTTCTAATTCCAGAAGAACAACCTGAATGATGGACCTTACCCTACCACCTTGTTGTGGCTAGAGCAAGGCAGAAGGAAACAGGAGCCTTTGGAAGGCAATGCTATGTCTGGGATAATGAGCAGAGAGAAGCCAATTTATGGTTCTGATGTTTTCACGTGTTCCCAGGTGAAATAGGTATGAAATCTGAGACCTTCTGCATCCAGGACTCTCTTTATAGGAGGTCTGCCTCTCCCATGTGTAGTTACGTGATCAGCTGAGGCTAAAGGTTCAAGGTGCTGCTCTGTAACAAGAAGGGCAAAGCATCAGAGCACTTTCGTAACAACATCCTAGCCTACTGGGCAAAGTAAGAAGTAAATATCCTTATTTAGTTTTCTAAAAGATTTCTCATTTGAGTTCAGCCTCTGTTTATTTAGATTTGTAGGTATACTAAGGGATGCATTGTACCTAACATTAAGACCCTTGCAGAACTGATATCTGACCACTTCATTAATGTCATAGTATCAAATTGCAGTATTTTATAGTCCAAGTGGATAAACAGCAGGTAGGCAAAAAATGTTTGATGTCTTCTTCAGTGTGAATTCTGAACTAGGAGGAGAGTGAATAATGAAAATTTGTTATCTGAAGGCAGCTGCTAGTGAGAGTTGTATACTTCTGGTATAATATGTGATGTCCTGGAGACTGAAGTCCTGTTTATTCACAGGGCAAACATGGCATAAAAACACAGCTCCAAGTTTCTCCACTCTGCTTGCCTCCTAGACAACAGCAGAAAGGACAACTGTGTGTGTGAACAAGAATCAAATTCTGCATCCTGTTCAAGACTCCTTCCACTGGGTCTTGTCTGCATGATGAGAACTTGGTATTAGCTAAATAAGAGCTGCAGTGTACACAAAACTGTACACTGATTTTAGCTTATTTTTACTAGGAATTAGCCTAATTTTACTAGGAAGCAGTTGAATGGAAACCAAAAAGAAACTCAGTAGCTGAAATAAAAATGGTTCTGGGGAGGAATAGCTTAAGTTGAATAGGTGTAATGACCATTTCTGTTAGGCCAGGCTCAAGACAGTGAGAGTGGACATCCATGCTGAAAACAGCTGGGTATTAGTCAGAAATACTTAATTAAACATCTAGTCCATGAGAATAGGGGGACTAAAATTTTGAGTGACCTTTTAAGAGTGACCTTGGTGTGAACAAGAAAAACTGTTGAACAAGCCAGATGGGGGTTTATCTCTTCTCCCAGGCAATCAGCAGTAGGACAAGAGGGCACGGGCTTAAGCTCTGTCAGGGGAGGTTTAGGTTGGATATTAGAAAGAATTTCTTTACAGAGAGAGTGATCAGGCATTGGAATGACCTACCCAGAGAGGTGGTGGATTCACCGTCCCTGGAGGTTTTTAAGATGAGGCTGGATGTGGCATTGAGTGCCATGATCTAGTAATCACAGTGGGGTTGGATCAAGGGTTGGACTTGATGATCTCAGAGGTCTCTTCTAATCCAGCTAATTCTATGATTCTATGAACTCAAATGTAGGATTTTTTACCAAGTTAAAATTGATTGTCTGACTGATTAATTACAATATAAACTCAAAACCTCACAGTTAGGCTGACACTTGATCTGGACATCTAAGAGCACTGAAGACAATCACTTTTAAGCCTAACATAGGGATAAACTGAGTTCTGGGATATGCACATACTCTCCTCAGTGTAGGCACACAGCCCCCACACACCAGGGAAATCACCTAACATACATCCATTCCCATGATCTCATGCATGGATCATGCCCCATCTTTCCTATTTATTGAAAGAAGTGTTCCCTGCCTTCAGTGAGGAGACAGGGAGGGAAAAGCAGAGCAAGCCCCATGGCATGTTCCCCAGGGCAGGGGGAACAGAAGAGGAGCCATAGTGCAATTGGGGAGCGGCCAGGCGTATTTAGAAAACCCCACACATCAGCAAGATTTGCTTTGGTGTATCTGCAGAGTCCATGGAGAGGACAGGATGTGATTATGGTGAGCAGTGCCCCAGGATGTGTGCTGCATGTGCCCATATTGGTGCAGTAGCTCTGAAATTCTGGAAGGTGAGGGGGGGAAGACATCCCCAAAGCATGACTACTCTGGGAAAAGGGTTAGTTGTGCCTTTTTATTTTGTTTCATTTCGTTATTCCTCCTGAAAGGAAGAAAGTTGTTATATGAAAGGTATTTTTTATTGTTGTGCTAAAGTAGCAGTTGTTCAGGCAGGTTCACATCACAGCCTTCAAAAAATAGCAATTTGTGCAGTAGTATTTGTCCAGCCGTATAAAATAAGGCCTTCAAATAACAGCCAGTCTGAAGACAGAAAGAAAGAGACAAAGCTGAAGTAGATATGAATCTAACAAATCGTGTATTCGAAAGGCTCAATTATAAACAAGCAATTTAAACAACTCTTAAAAGAAAAAAAAGTAAGCTTCCATAACTATTTTTAAACTAGGTTAGCTTTCATCTTTTTATTTTTACTTATTTCTTCTGTTTTCTTTATACCACTTGTCAAGGGACACTGAAGATGTTTTACAGTTCTCTTTTTTCACTTATCTGATGCCTCTTTAGTTGACTGATAAGTAATTATTGAAGAAATATTACACAGTATTACACAACCTGTAGTTACAATTGTCTTCATTATTATTTTTAAATTATTTAGTTTTTTACAAATACTGATAAAACTTTTTTTCTGCTTTTCATACGTGAAAACAAAACTTAAAAAACCTGTCAGAGTTTAGGATCTTCAGTACAAGGACTCTCTTTACACTGCTGTAAATCACAGTTTGCATGCTGGGAAATAAATAACGGTTTTGTTCTGAGTTTTGCTTATTACTAGTAATACCAAAAAATCTCTGTAGACCAAGGGGGGGACTCGAACTTTAGATGTCATAACGTTGTGAAACATCTTTTAAACCAGATTTTTGCTGCTACTGATTTATGTTAGAGGAACTCCTCCTTTAGCTGATGATATCGTCTTATTATTAAGCAAAATATAAATATAATGCTGTGCTGCTTTTGACTTTTGGGTGGAATTAGTTTTCTTCACAGTAGCTGCTATGGGACCATGTTTTGGATTTGTGCTGAAAACAGTGTTGATAATTCAGGGAAGTTTTCCTTATAGCTGAGCAGTGTTTCCACAGAGCCAAGACTTTTTCTAGTCCTTACCCCACTCCACCAGCAAGGAAGCATAGGGTGCACAAGAAGCTGGGAGGGGACACTGTCAGGTCAGCTGGTCCCAACTGACCCAAGGGGTATTCCATACCATATGACGCCATGCTCAGCGTACAAAACTGGCGGAAAAATAATATAGGGAGAGGACACA